AACCTATGTAGCCATACACTGCACTACATACGTCACACTAGCTCAACCTATGTAGCCCTTCACGCCACTACATATCTGACACTAGCTCAACCTATGTAGCCCTTCACTGCACTACATACCTGACATTGGCTCAACCTATGTAGCCCTTCACGCCACTACATACCTCACACTAGCTCAACCTATGTAGCCATACACTGCACTACATACCTCACACTAGCTCAACCTATGTAGCCCTTCACGCCACTACATACGTACCTGACACTAGCTCAACCTATGTAGCCCTTCACGCCACTACATACCTCACACTAGCTCAACCTATGTAGCCCTTCACGCCACTACATACCTCACACTAGCTCAACCTATGTAGCCCTTCACTGCACTACATACCTCACACTAGCTCAACCTATGTAGCCCTTCACTGCACTACATACCTGACACTAGCTCAACCTATGTAGCCCTTCACTGCACTACATACCTGACACTAGTTCAACCTATGTAGCCCTTCACTGCACTACATACCTCACACTAGCTCAACCTACGTAGCCCTTTGCTCTATCACATCCCGTGGAAGAGTGAAGGTTAACACGCTAGGTTTAGCTAGCGTGGCTTCAGCTGTGACAGTCGTGAGTGGCAGCTCCTGTCGCACCACCTCTTGCTCTTTGCACCGTCAGCCTCCCCGTCTGAATGCGTTCGGACGCGGGCGTATTATGTGCTGTACCGTGTTATGTCAGTCGCGTGTTTTAACACTCTGCGAAAAAAAAAACATGAATAATAAACGCGTAACGTTCCGGTGCAATTTATAAAATTGACAGTTTACATTAGCGTCAACAATTTATCTAGGGTTAACTGAAAGTTTAATCAGCGCATAGCCGTGGAACGCCATCGCGAGAATGGTTTGTTGCCAAGTGAATTCAATCATTTAAGACCTCAAATATTTGAAGAAAAGACGCGAGTGGAGGCTTTAGTTTCAGTTTATTTATTCGAGTGTGATAACGTGTGATCGTGTTTATATGAATGTGAAATAATGACTGTAATCCCCTGATGTATGTTTCAATACATAATTACTGAAGTCATTTTTAAGAACCTATTGGGCAAACTTGCAGCCGCTCGACACAGAATCAACATTCGTTACAGCTATTGAATTGAAGACTGCCTGCGTGCAGCACGTGTTGCTAGCATAATACTTCAGCAACGTTTAAAAATCATCGTATTTTGTACATTTAAGCAGGAGGATATATAACTCTAACGTCCTCATGGTTTGATTTGATGATGTAGCATGATGTCTTGCTCATTTCCTTCGCGTCAGACACGCGTGCGTTGTTGCTAAGTGTAGTGCTCAGCAATACAGTTGAACCTATATTAGCGATTTTGGTGCGGGACGTTGTTGCAAAATGCACAAGTCTAAGCTAAATGTTGTGACCATGACAAAATTTACGATGTTTCTGTCGACGGGCCCCAGCTCTGTATAGAAGGGACACCTGTCCATAAAGGACGCATTCGTTGTTTTCCTTGAGTGACGCTCAAGCAGGCGACGAGTAATCGGGGGTTGACAGTGTACGCGAGACGCTCGTCTGGGCCACAATTTAACAAAATCTTTGTTTGCCCTCACCCGACCCAGGCTGAAATGTTTGGGTAGGTGGGTAGGCTTTTTTTGAGGGCGGGGGTCTTTTTACAAATTCAGCATGGTGTCTACATGCTCATGTGTGCTTGTGTGGAGATACCTTTGATGTTGAATGTTTGTTTTGCTTTGTACATATAATGTTTTGCCTACCTATTTATATAATGTACAGTGATACAATTTGTAAAAAAAAAAAGAATGGGAAATATCAATAAACTTTTTTGAGTCGGCCCCTTTTTGGCGGGTCGGGCGGGTGAGGGCAAACAAACAATATTCTTATTATGGCCCTGTCTGTTATGCAGGATGGATTCCTTCGTGCTGGCGGAGCTGTTCAAGTACCTGTATCTGCTATTCGCCGAGGATGAGGACATCCCGATAAACATCGACGACTACGTTTTCACGACCGAAGCCCATCTCCTGCCGCTCACGCTCTCAAAGGCCATGAACCCAACCGGCGAGGAGGATGTGGTAAGCATTTTTAATGCGTGGAAACGCAGTTCAGCAATTAGGTAATGGGTTGCTTGTGTGCTTTGTGACAGTGACGGATGATTTTAGTCGAACGCGGGCATGTAAACTAGTGGGTGTGTTCGAGCACAACACGAATCGGGCGCGGGTAATTGATGAATAGTGCGAGTCTCGGGCAAGCTGACCCTGCTTTCCCATCGCTTCATTAATTACAATCAGGTAAATTTGAAAAATTAAAATTTTAAATGTTAAGAGTCGTGGACGCGAATAACCTTGAATTCCTGACTGATGTCATTGATCCATTACAGTTTTCTGTTGTTTCATTGTTAGCATTTTGTTTGCGATGGGTGGATTAATTCCCTTGCCGCGTATTTGTTTGATAGGAATACAATGACGTGGCTAGTAAACGGGGAGATGAGTTAATGGCCGGAGAGGATGAGAACGAATACAAATTCCGACGTTCCTGTCCTAACAACAACGCCATCTTCCCTGGAGAAAACTTTGCACAGGTTATACGTTTGAGGCTGAAAAATATGGTGGAAGAACAGTGCCCGAAGCCAAAAACCTTGTACGTATACATCTAAACCTACTAACGTTGATAAATCATTGTCGTCAGAGGGTAAAGCACTCGCGATTATTCAGAATGATATATAGTAGGTATTGTTAAACTTGCCGTCGCGATAATTTCACGTATAACTATTTCGAGATGATAGCTGTCGGTTTCGCTTCGTACCATGGAAACTCCTTGCCAAGAAACTGACGTCGAAGCAATTACGGTTTTGCGATCTGCGTGTTATCCCCGATTCGGCTTTTCGGAGCAAACAAAACGAACGTGACGAATGGCGTTTCAACCTAAATACGTCGGGGCACAATCATTGCGCACTGTTGTAAAATGCTCGAAATGGCGAGCGCGCAAAATGCGCCACACGTGCTAAAGTCCTACGTTTGCCTTTGTTGCCGACGTCGCAGCAAGAGGCGGCTGCGGGCGAGCGAGTTTGAGGCGGGCAACGTGGCACACATGACGATGCTGGAGCGGATGGGAATACGCATGGTCACCCTGAAGGACGCACGTGTGCAGCTGATGCACACTGCCAACCAGGTATGCGCTTAATTCGCGAGGACGACGACGATGCCGTCAGCGTTTCACGTAGACTAGATTTGGATCCAACTATCAGACCCATGCACTCACAATCCAAATGAAGGTTAAAAGTCAAAATGTTAACACTGGTTTTCATCTTATTTTCTCACTGTTTATGTGAACTATTTCATTCAACAATTTTAACAATGCAACGTTTTTTCGTGCACAAATTCACGAACAGGTTAATTTTTTCCACAGAATAAATTGTTAATCACTGCACCCCGACAAAATGCCGCAGCACTAGTGGCACGCGACAACGTTAATCACGTTGCCCCAGTTGTAGGTAGCGGCTGTCAATCAACGACTACCGACTTGAGCAGGCTTTCTAGCTATTGTGGGCCATTGTCCAATTTGTGGGGGGGGCTTCTCGTGTTCAAAAGTCGCAGCGCCAAACGTCGGCCGATGCAGACGCGATCACCGTATAATCTTATCCGGTATTCACAGAGAACCGGCGATCCGACGTCATTCCTTCTTTCGGCGAAATCTTTCAACTGCAGCATTTACGTGTATCAGAGATCACCAGGGGGGGCACAGAGTGGCTTAGGTTTTTTGACATCACGAGTGAAGCAATTGCAGATCTCGCATGCGCGATATGCGAAACGCGTCTGTAACTCGCCTGTCGTGTTGTTCCTACCGGCAGGCGGCGACGTTAGAGGAAGGAGAGGAAGGTCTGCTGTTCATGCAGGAGATGATAGAACTGTCGAACAACCAGAACAACCAGGTGGAACACCAGCCGCGCGTGATACAGTTCCTGTCGCCGCCCTATGATGGCAGGGTGGTGCTCACCGCGGGACCCGCCCAGTTTGGTATCGAGCTAAAAGGAAGCCAGGGGGTGAGTAAGGCCACAATTAAAAAAAATCTTTGTTTGCCAATACGATACATGACTGCCTCCCCGTGTATTTCCCGTAGAGGGGTCGGCGGACTCGGAAGGCAGCGAGGAAGCAGAGAAGATGCAGCACATGCAGTCAATGCAATTAATATGCGTGGCGTGCGCGCGCCCGCGTCTCTATGCATGCGGCGTGTGTGTGAGGGCTGAGTTTACGCGTTGCCGGCTAGGTAATTGCTGCGAATCCACGCACGCTTACGGCCGGAGATTGATGTGCCTTTCACGGCCGATTGAGCGCCGATTTTATTTCGTCTTATCCTAACAACAAGGAGGCCGCGTGCGCAGCGGAGTGAAGTGGCACGCAGGAGCGGCCTGCGCGTGTCGTAATGAGAGACTCGCGCGAAGCAATCTCACGAAGTGAAGCACTGTCATAGCTGGTGCTGCTGCTACTGCTGCTGCTGCTACTGCTGCTGCTGCTGCTGCTGCTACTGCTGCTACTGCTGCTGCTGGTGGTGGTGGTACTGCTACTGCTGCTACTGCTGCTGCTACTGCTGCTGCTGCGGCGGCTGCTGCTGCCCCTGCTACTGCACTGCTGCTGCTGCTGCTGCTGTTGCTGCTACATTCGCCGGGCGTGTATTGTCGCGAC